TAAAGATCTTTTCCAACCTAAACGATTCTATGATTCTATGAGTACATAAGCACAGGTGGGCAACCTGAGGATTGCGAAGTCAGGTGAGGTTGTACGGCTGTTGGTATCTAAATCTGTCTTTGTAAATGTGTTTTTGTGCAGCCTGTCTTTAAGTGCACTACTTTTACTGGCACTTTGGTACAGCAAAAAAAAAGGTGGTGAGAAAAGAGCACAGATGACTTCTGCTAATGGAACAGAATCATAGAATCATTTAGGTTGGAAAAGACCTTTAAGATCATCCAGTCCAAACACTAACCTAACATTACCAAGTCCACACTAAACCAATCAAGGGTAGACTAGAGTAAAGCATTCCTGGCTTGGTGGCTGGATTATTTTTTAATGAAAGTAAAAACTAGGAATCATTAAGGTTGGAAAGGATCTCTAAGATCATCAGTACAACCATCAACCCAACACCACCATGTCCACTAGAATAGACTATTTTGGTCAGAAGGGACCTACAATGATCATCTAGTCCAATTGCCTGACAGCTTCAGGGCTGACCAAGTTAGAGCGTGTTGTTAAGGGCATTGTCCAAATGCCTCTTCAATACTGACAGGCTTGGGGCATCGACCACCTCTCTAGGAAGTGTTCCAGTGTTTGACCACCCTCTCAGTAAAGAAATGCTTCCTAATGTCCAGTCTAAACCTCCCCTGGTGCAGCTTTGAACTGTTCCCATGCATCCTATCACTGGATGCCAGGGAGAAGAGATCAGCACCTCCCCTCCACTTCCCTCCTCAGGAAGCTGTAGAGAGCGAGGAGGTCAACCCTCATCCTCCTTTTGTCCAAACTAGGCAAGCCCAAAGTCCTTAGCCGCTCCTCATAGGACATTCCTTCCAGCCCCTTCACCAGCTTTGTTGCCCTCCTCTGGATGCATGCAAGTACCCTCACATCCTTCTTAAATGGTGGGGCCCAGAACTGCACACAGTACTCAAGGTGAGGCCGCACCAACACTGAATACAATGGGATGATCACTTCTTTTGACTGGCTGGTGATGCTGTGTTTGATGCACCCCAGGATGTGGTTTGCCCTCTTGGCTGCCAGAGCACACCACACTGCTGGCTCCTGTTGAGCCTGGTGTCGACCAGCACCCCCAGACCCCTTTCCTCAGGGCTGCTCTCCAGCCACTCCTCTTCCAATTTATACTTGTGCCCCGCATTACTCTGTCCCAGGTGCAGAATCTGGCATTGTTAAATTTCATCCCACTCATCATTGCCCAATGCTCCAATCTACCTAGATCCCTTTGCAAGGCCTCTTGTCCCTCACGAGAGTCAACAGCACCTCCCAGTTTAGCATCATCAGCAAGCTTGCTAATGGTGCATTCAACTCCTGCATCCAGATCATTGATGAATATATTGAACAGAACTGGCCCTAGAATTAAGCCCTGAGTAACACCACTAGTGACAGGTTGCCAGTCAGATGCAGCCCCATTCACTACAACCCTTTGAGCTCTGCCCTTCAGCCAGTTCTTCACCCAGCGCACCGTGAAGCTGCTCATCCCACAGCTGGAGAACTTGTCCAGAAGGATGCTGTGAGGGACAGTATCAAATGCCTTACTAAAATCCAGAAAAACTACATCCACCGCCTTCCCTTCATCCACCAGGCAGGTAACCTCATCATAGAAGGATACCAAATTGGTTAAACAGGACTTTCCCTTTGTGAACCCATGTTGACTGTGCCTGATGATTGCATTATTCTTTAAATGGCTTTCAGTAGTATCCACTATAATCTTCTCCATAATTTTTCCAGGAACTGAGGTTAGACTAACAGGCCTGTAGTTCTCCGGGTCTTCCCTCACACCCTTTTTGTAGTTTGGAATAACATTGGCTAGCTTCCAGTCAGCAGGGATCTCCCCAGACTCCCAAGCCCTTTGGTAGATGATTGAGAGGGGTCCTGCCATAACATCTGCTAGCTCCTTCAGTACTCTGGGATGAATCCCATCAGGCCCCATGGACTTGTGAATGAACATTCAGCTGATACAGCCAGTCCCTTACAATTTCAGTGTCCGCAAATGGCAAGTCACTCTTCCCACACTCATGGTCCTCCAACTCAGGGGACCGGGCAGCCCGAGGTCTATCAGTATTATTAAAGACCGAGGCGAAAAAAGCATTGAATGCCTGCACTTTTTCTTCATCCCTATTAGTCAGATGACCATCTTCAACAAGCATTGGTCCAATGTTTTCTTTAGACCTCCTCTTGCTATTAACATACTTAAAAAAGCCCTTCTTGTTGTCTGACAACACTGGCCAGTTTCAACTCTAATTGAGCTTTGGCCTTTTGTGTCTTCCCTGCATAGGTGAAGCACAGCTCTGTAATCTTCCTGCGAAGCCTGACCTTCTTCCAGAGATCATACAATTTCCTTTTCCTCTTGAGCTCCACGAGGAGTTCCCTGTTCAGCCAAGCTGGTCTTCTGCTCTGCTTTGCTTGACTTACAACACAGTGGAATTGCCTGCTCCTCTGCTTCTAAAAGGTGGTTCTTAAAAACTGACCAGCACTCGTGGACTCCTAAGCCCTCAAAAGCAGATTCCCAGGGTACTCTGCTAAAGAGCTCCCTGAATAGCTTAAAGTTTGCTCTCTTGAAGTCCAGGGTAGCAACTCTGCTGTCCTTTTCTCTCATTACACTGAAAATTTTAAACTCAACTATTTCACAATCACTGTGGCCAAGACAGCCACCTACCATCACATCTCCCATGAGTCCTTCTCTATCCACAAATAGCAAGTCTAGGAGGGCATCTTTGGTAGTTGGCTCACTGAGTACTTGTAACAAGAAGTTATCTTCCACAAACTTCAAGAATTTTCAAGACCTGCTCATCACAGCAGTGAGATATTCCCAGTTGATGCCTGGGAAGTTGAAATCTCCCATCAGGACAAGGGCTACCAATCCATAGATTTCTCCTAATTGCTGATACAGTAACTCATCAGTGCTTACATCCTGGCTGGGCCATCGGTAGTAGACACCCACTACAACACCTGTTTTGTTTTCCATCCCCTAATCCTCACCCAGAGGCTCTCAACCACATCACCACTAACTGTAAGGGCTGTACAATCAAACCTCTCCCTGACATAGAGTGCAAATCCTCCACCTCGCCTGCCCTGCCTACCCCTCCTGAACAGCCTGAAGCCCTCCACCCCAGCACTCCAATCCTGGGACTCATTCACCGGGTCTCACTAATACCAATGGTACTGTAGCTCTGGGAGCTGACCAACACTCCCAGTTCATCCTGTTTGTTTCTCATACTGCGAGTTTTGGTGTACAAGCACTTCAGATATGCTCCTGAGCCCTCCGTGCTCCCAGGAGCAAAGTAAGTGTTCCCACTAGCATTGCCACCCTCAGGCAATGCCATGTCAACGCCTGGCTTGCCTTCGGCAATCCTGCTGGTATCCTCTTCCCCCATCAGTTCTAGTTTAAAGCCCTTCCGTTCAGTCCCACCAGCCTATATCAAAAGACGCGTTTTCCCCATCGGGGCAGGCGGATGCCGTCAGGCCCCAGCACCACAACATCTTCCTCTACTTTACTTAAGAAGTACTAGTGCAGCTGCACCTAACGTAGCAAAGCAGGCACCAGTGTTTATCATTGCTGGTATCAAATTCAGTGTGTCAACCAACTAACAGCTACAAAGCATATAAAATGCAGGTCTGCATTTTGGATGCAAAACAAGTGTTAATACGAAGACCACCACATGAGTCTGAAAAACTCCCTTGGAAACAGAACCTGAGTTACCTGACCAGTAGTTTACTTGGCCATTGCACCATCCAGTAATAATGATGTAATATTTAAAATAAAAGATCTACTCAACATCAATCAAACCAACACAACTGAGGGGTCATCTTCATTATAACAAACACCTGATTTATGTCAGGCATCCTAAACATACACAAAAACCTAGACAGTGTCACTGTCTTATCACCATGATCTTTTAGGGTTAAAAGCTTGAGCACTAATCAACAGATTTTAACATGCTGCATCACTAAAGCAGCTAGCCTGCAACTGTTTGTTGATTCAGAAAGTTCTCACAAGTCTCCTCTGCCTAAATAAAAAGAACAGATTCTCCACAACTTGTTATGAAATAGCTCCTAGCCAAGCTCAAAGTTTTGCAAAGCAAGGAAATATAAAATATACCCTCAGCTCCTAAAGCTAGACAGGCAAGTGCAGCACAACTGTAGCTGTGGCATCTCCAATGTTGCATTGATACAGCTGACCTTGCTAGAGCTAGAACAATTAGCCTGAGAAAAATAAGTTAAACCAAGCTGTGAATTCAGCTCACACCCTTTTTAGTTCTGAAAGAGTGGTACCTGTTCCTCATAAAGCACCACGGAGATCCTGAACAATAGATAAAAACATTTGCAAGAGGGATCCAGCACATTTAGCTACAGAAGTAAAATTTGCAATGGAAATAGAGCTACAATCCTACAAGTTTTGAAATTATAAGGAACTTAGAAAGAGAGACTAAAAAGCACACATAGCTTGACACACACCTTCCTAGGTCTTACAGAGTCAAGTCTCCAATTTTTATGTACAAGAGATGTAAGCCAAACATTAGTTCTTTCAAGATAAGATATACTTAGTCTGGCAGAACTGGTTCAAGGGGGAAACAAATTTAAAATGATTAAAGGATTATCCTTTTCCATCAATTAGCAAGAAATCTAAAGCAAAAACAAAGAAAAAAAATTATAAAGCACTCTGTAAGCATAAATTTAACATTGTTCATACAGTAACTGAAGACATCAAACCCAGAGACCTGCAATACAATTTTTTAAATCACTCTTCCTACCAGAACTACATTGTAGTTTGTCATAGTAGGGAATTCTTGGGAGACAGAGCAACTAAAACCTGCTTGGTAGATAACCTTCTGTACCTAAGGAGGGTAAACACATTAGGCACAAGACATTGCCAAGATGCTTTTATTACAAAATCATGTATTGGGCATTTAGAGTAATTGGGCATTTAGAGTAGAATCTCTTAATATCCTGCCTCACACCAAAGGACTTTGTATTGGAATATAAGAGAGAGAAATCCCCTGCACACAGATGCGTTTCTAGGCATGAACAGCATACAAGAGAAATTGCTCAAAAACTAAGAAAAACGTCACCTGTTCAGCTTGTTTCAATCTCTCATAGGTAAAATAGAAGCACAGCCTCCTAATGCATCTTCCATTTTTCTGTTCCTTTAGTATTTGTCAACACTTGAAAGCTATAGTAGTGGACAATCCAAAATAAGCACCTTAGAACAGTATTTTAATTCTGTGGAAGAAACTTTTAAATAGGAATATTACCTACCCCTTCATCTCATGGTCCACTGAAAAATGTGCTTTGGCTTTCAGGAGGTTTGTCACTCAGCTATATATTAAGAGAATAATCATTATTCTTTATTTACCAAAGAAGTAATTTACAATCAGGTTACTATAGTTACCTTGTCTGAAAGGTTCAATAAATAATGCATCTCTATGAGTCTAATGATTGATAGTAACCTTTGCTCTCAGTCATCTCTAGAAAACTGTTTTAAAATTTAAATTCGTTTTAAGCTTCCTGGCTTTGTAATCTTTGGGTTTTCATTTCATTTTGTATTTTAGTGGGAAAAATACCTCTTAAGTAAAAATACAAAATAAGTTAATAAATGTTATTTTAGAGGGTGAAAGATACACAGCTACATGGTGGGATTATTACAACAATAAAAGACAAAACCTGCAACTGCCCACACTTTTCAGATTTTTGTATTGCATAGATGAAAACTTGCATCTATGGAAAGTAAGGCTGTCTGTCCTTTTATGATCAAACATATACTCCTTCCTGCTCACCATATACCATTTTTATAGTCAATTGGTCAAATAATTCAGTGCAGATACTTACCTACTGCATTTTGATTCTTCAGTCATTCTGGATGTTTAGTATCATTAAAACTATTAATAGGAGGACAAAATGTGCTAAGATGGAACTTCTATATTTCTATTTCTAGCTTTTTTCCAGGCTATAGGGTAATATGTAAATATATTCTGAAAAATAATCTGCAGAGGACTGCAAAAGCAGAGTATTAGGCTATTTGTTTATGGAAAAAAATTGGGCTTCATCCTACGTCTTTTACAACTAAGTCTGCATATTCAGTGCAGATATAAGTATTTAAGAAATACATATGCTGAAGTCAATGAAATTTTAGATGCTTAAGAAATGCATGGGCCAATTCAATTTTTGTTTGCATTGCTCCACAAATAAAATTAATGTATATATACCCCTGATCTCTGAAAACATGTTTATATTTTAGTCTAGTCTAAAAAGACCTAAGTGGTAAGAATGAAGTATATGTTTGGTCACATTAAAATGAAAATAGCCATTAGACTTTGCTACAGTTAAATGGCTGCATGTAAAAGGAAAATTACTCTTTGGTACCTAAACTGTGAAGTTATTTTTAAATCTGTATCTGGAATTCTGTTTTAAAAATACATATTCGGTATACTTGGATGTAGTTATAAAATGTAACTACACTTCTGTTTTATCTTTGGGCTTATGAAGCAATCAGTATTCAAAAAAAAAGAAATTATCTCACTTATTACTTAAAGGCATTCAGGACAGAGATGGAGCACAATACAACTAAACAAACACTTCAGCATTTAAAACAATAAGGGTAGATTTTGTAAGTAAGCGCGCGGCTTTTGACTTCGGCACCTCTCTGAAAAACAAACACTGAAAACCCCTCCAGACCCAGAAGCTTCCACTGCTTTTACATGGAACTGCTGATGACTTTGAAAACTGCTGGTTGCATGACTGCATTGACTCAGAAGTAAATAAAACAACATAATTACTGGGGTAAGGTGAACTCGAACAACACATTTCCATCCTTGAATTCAGTTGGAGCGTTTTGATTTGTTATACTAATTTGATTTCATGTCCCTTGGAGAACTGGCAAGTTATCCTTCTGCTGCAGCACTCTCTTATTCTGAATGCACAACCACAAATTCCAGGGTTCTCCACCTGCTCTTATAAAGAGAAATCTTAGGCTGTTAATATTCTAACTCATGTTATTCAAACTGTGACCCATGAAGACTGAGCTGACCGACAGTGCAGATCAAACATCTCCTTGGCTTGACTAAGGAAAGCTGACTACATACTAATGGCACATTAGCACACTTTTAAGAATTTGAGGAATGTCGTGTGGATATTACCTAATGGTGACCAAGGTAAAAAGAGACAATTTTTACAATAGGATATGGTGTACACGTTTAAAATACCTGAAATCCAGTACTATAAACACTTCTAAGAACATGAGTACAGTAAAGCAAAATAACAGTGCTGAGTGACCAAGTTAGGATCTCAGTTGTCTTTCTGTCTCTGCCTCTAACAATTGCCTAAAAATGTGACAGTTTTGGACAAGAACTCCAACACTGAGGAAAAAGTGCTCAAAAGTGAAGAGGACTTAAGACATCAAACACTCAAAGTAATGAAGTTACTTTAGGAAGCTTTGTACAGATCTTAACGAGAAAAGGAGACCATAATACAGAAAAGAATGATTAGAATTCTTGTCTGCAGGTCAGCAGCATTGCAGCCACACAGGAATTCTTATTTTATGGAATAGATTTTGAGGGCTTTGGCACATCAAGCACCTTCAAGTCTATGTGCACAGGTGATCTACAAATTTGTAAATACTTTTAAATACCCATGCTGGTTGGTTTGGGGTTTTTTTTTTGTCCATAAGATTACCATCTCCAACTTTTTCAGTAAATTTGTACTAAACACCTTCCAGAAAACTTTCTACAAAAAAAGATACTGAAATGGATTCACTATATGCTTAAAAATAAAAAACCTTCTTACTCAACTGATAAGCATTAAAAAAAATGCTTGGCTGCCTTACCGTTAAGCAACTTAACTCCAGAGATTTTCATCATCTCATATTTCACCTTTCCTTTATGTTTTGGCCAGTAAAGCATGTAACTGCAAACAGCATTTGCAAAAGAAGTTTTTCCTATGATAATACGAGTCAGAAGATCAAAGTGAGATGGAAAAGTAGTACTATTGCTGATAGTTATACAAAGTTATATAAAGTATGCTGCAAAGGCTGTCATACACAGAATTTATTTTACTGTTGCAGTTTACCATTGGTGGGCACAACAAACCCAGACCTCTATTACACTTTTTTTACAGACACTAAAAATAAAAATTATAACCTTATCCAAAGGCTCTATCAAAGAAAGATAGTTGAATTCCCGGATAAGACATATTCATATGACTGAATACTGAAAAATTCATAAAATGGTACTTACTTTTTTGGAGAAGGTCATGCAGCTACTGGTGATTACTGCATTAGCTGTAAAATTTTACAGTTGTAATCCTAAGGGTATCAACAATTTGCCTGTTATACATACACAGTTTCTTCACACAAGCTTATTATTTAGTGCTTCTCTATAACGACAGGTGACAGTTTTTCTGCTGGTCAGGTTTTAATACTATGAGCTCCAGCTCTGGCATCCCCTGGTGTTCTAGCCTAGAAAAGTAGATTTTACCAAAAGTTCTGCTTTCATAGCAAAATTAATGGTATCTAAAGTAATCCACAACACAAATTGTAGGTGAAAACAGATATAAGGTAGTAATTTTTTCACCCATCTCAGATACAGCTTGATATAAGCTTTCTTTTTTATATTTGGAAAATTTTGCTGACTAACCAGTAACTGTACATTTAGGTGTTTTCATATGTTTTAGTCTTTTATTTTTGTAAACACAACTTAGTTGAATTGTTGGCTAGAATGAACAGCAAAGATGGACTCAGATGCTGGGTCTAACAACATCAACAGCAAAACTTCCCCAAACTCTCACTGAAAATTTTGAGGGTTCAGATTAGCAATAGGCTTACCTATTTACAATCAGTTTTCATATCAAAGTTCTAAAGAAAAGCACTGTTAAGCTAATTCCTCTAAACATTCTGTTCAAAGAAATGTATGTTCACTAACACATTTTAAAATCTTCAGCCTTGGATTCAAAGCTGTACAATGTACTGAGGGCACTCTGAAAAGGAAACTAAAACTTACCAGTTTACTTGTTAAAAACTTCACTTTTCATAGTATTAGCAAAAAATATCTTATTGAAATTGCATCCACTTTCTAATGGGCTTTATAATAAATATTTAATTATTCATAAGATTTCAGGGATATATCCTAATTCAAGTAGATAAAAGAACAAGTGTTAAAATATCAGCGTATCTAAGTTTTTCAAAATATTAAAATAATTTATATACATTGCTATTTCAAAGTACAAACTGTTTTGCTGGTGTGAATAAACATGGAGATCTAACATATAATATTTTTGATGCAGTCAAAACTTGAAAATAAATACAATTTTTATTTAACAGCTGCAAGTGCAGACATCATATATAGCTTAGTCCACACCACTGTTACCCAATGATTCATCTTCTATATAATAAGACTATAACAGGAAATACCACCAGGTCTTAATTTAATTATGTGGCTGAACACTGTGGCTGATCAACTAGTTCTTGTGCAGCAGGCATAGCAGTAGAATTGTCCTAGAAAGCTGGATATCTGGTCTAAATAAATGTGCTTTTGAGACTGAGAAGACATCTTTCCACTGAAGGCTTGACTTTTTCACTGCAAGTATCCATACCAGTTCAATTCTTTCTATTTACATCTCATCCCATACCATACAGCTCCCCTTCACCTTTCTTTATGGCATAGGTCATGAGTATAACTGTAGTTAACTAAAGAAACTTGCTGGTTTGGACACATCGGTATCATGCCTGTGTCAACAGCAATATGGTAAGCCTATTTGAAAACAGCAAAGAAGCACTAGTCTGGTGTAGGAGAGAACTTCAGTTTCACTTTATTTTGTTTATTATATTAAGAAAAAGTCTAGGAATCAGCACTGACAGCTGTTGCCTGTTCTTTAAAATTTGCTGTAATCAAGCACAATGAAGTTCATCTACATTATAAACCAAATGAACTTCTCAGTCAGGGATGAGTTCAACTATAAAAAGTATTCCAACAAACATGTAAATAGTGGACTATATAAGCCATACAAGGCTTTACTTTCCTCAATAGTCTTTTAAGTTACTTATTACATCCCCGAAATGGTGTCTTTGACTCGTTGTTTGCAGGTGCTGATCAGACTGTTATGGGTCTGAATCTGCAATAAAAAAAAGATTAAAGTTCTTAGAATAACTTCAACCATAAGAATAAAAAGGTCAGCTGAAATTTTCAGTTTCTCTTTCAAGTCAAAATGCATACAAATTCCAGTACTTTTAATTTTTAACTAACAAGATAGACAAGCTACCTACAAAGTTTGCAGTATGATGCAAATCTGTAACTGAACACAAATAGGTTATAGATTTACATATGGAATGGGTTATATCTCCTGTCTTGGATATCTCCCGTGCAAGAGGTAACAGAGAAAGCTCCATCTCAAAAGGTAGCTGCAAGGTGCTCGTGCTGTCAATTGCTTTGGATGAGCAGACAAAAGTATCCAAGTGGGAAGAAAATACAAGCCCTACCTTCAGTGCATACCTGAAAGAATGAAAAGGACAAGGTCAAAAATTAATTAAGGTACATGTCTGGATGACACCATACTGTTAAGAGTGTTAAAAAAATCTCCTTTTGCATTGAGAGACAGAATCAATGTCAGTTGGAATAACTATGATTGACAAATGAGGACAATAGGAGCAAAGCAGGTGTCACGTTATCTAAGAATTTGTGAAAGAAAAGCATCTCAAAAAAAAAAGATGTGTCTGTCTATCAAATGATGCAGCATACTGATTTTCCAGCAGCCTTCACAGTATACCCATCATTTTATTCTCTATGCATAAGTGGTATAACCAAATCAATATCATGATTACTCTGAAAAATCTTCAGCTTTCTTTATATCCCAAATGTCCCATTAGAGGCACACTTCACATTAAAGAAATCAACTATCACCAAATAAATAAATTTGAGGTTTCAAAAATCCCAAATCATTTCATTTTACTTACAGTAATGGAAAAGAAAAATGTCAGTGCACAAGAAAGTTAAACAGAATCTGAAGAGAAAAGAAGAATATTCAAGGTTTTCTTTCATGCTAAGGAAGAGCACTTTTAGGCTCCACAGTTGAACTGTTAAGCCATTGCACCTCCCAAGGCAGCATCCTCTGCATGATCAGAGTTTGGATACTTAAGTTGACTTTGAAGAGTGCTTCTCAGGTTATGCACCCTCTTTCAGGTCCAGACCAAGATCTGGCTTCATACTTTAGTTTTATAGCAGTTTTTCTTCTGAACAATAACGCACAACTTCTAGTTTTCTGTTTGCCTCTTTTCTTCTGATAATCACCTGGAAGAAGAGGTTCTGCACACACAAAAAGAAAAAAAAGATTACTGTATATATATTAATGGAAGACACAAAGATGAATTCAGAAAGTGCTGAAGTGTCACAGAAACTAAATTAACTGGCCTCTGAGACTTTCACACATTGATATATCAAGGTCAAGGGAGTCATGGCAGTCCCCAGAGTATACACAAGCATTCACTGATACAAATAAAATAAAATTCTGGAGCTTGCAATGTGTATGTTCAATAGCATTTTAAAAGGTTGTTATAGAAAACTGATATACCGACCATGGTTGCCAAGCCACTGTAAAAAGCCTAAGCAAAAGGTCTTTGACAGAAGGGGAATTTTCTGCCCTTTAACTTTATATCTAAGTGTTTTCATGTGATGTCTTTCGTAACTATTACCATTGTGCACGACAAAGTAAGGCTTGAAATTGTAGGTAAACACTGGATAACTTTTTTTCTTTCTAATAAAACTAATAAAAAAAATGAAACGCCACTGTCTTCAATGATGCACATATATTTATTTTGACAAATTTTTATGAACAGTGATCTATTTCTTAAACACAAGTATCCATGACATTTGTCACAGTAGTTTTCAGAAAACTGTTAGGGGCCAAAGACTATTCACAACAAATAGGCAACAAATATTTTACAGTCTGCTTAAATTTAGGCAGGAGGATGGCTGTGTCTCTGCAGCATTTTACAAAAACACAGAAGCCCTTGGATCGGAACAAAGCATACTTCTGCAATTGTAAAGATGAAAAAAATCCATGAAAGCCTCTGCCTTCACTGACTACAAAAAGGAGCACCCTCTTCTTTAGCTGGTCATAGGGTATTGTAAGCTTAGCATAGTAATTCAGTAAGTCTCACCATATTCAAAGAAAGCCACACAAATTTTTCAGGCTACCCTCTGCTGTTACCTTGAGATCCCAACTCACTTTAAAAGAAACAGCTTTCAATAATTTTACCTTTGGACTGCTCCCTATTTTCTGATGTTTCTTGACTCTTTTTTTCCCCATGCAGTACGCTGCTGAAACCAGTCAGTCCCATAACCGCTGCTGAAGTTTAATCTGCTAAAGTTTACTGCTTCGCTTTTTCTCTGAGCAGACCTGTAAATCCAAATATATTAAGGAAAACAATAGCATAAGTAAACAAAAATGGGGATTAGGTGGGAAAATTTTATTTTGCAGAGAAAGGGCAATACCCTTATAACATAATTTATTTCTAACTGAACATATAGTCTACATGTAATCATCTAAGAAAAAAGCAAAACCAAAACAATAAAAAAACAAAGCACACAACTATGCCTGATTCAGTAACATGTAATTTTACATAGTAAGTAAAATTTTATTTTTTCCATTTTATTGGAACTTTACATGTATAATACTTACACAGTTCTGGTCTTAGAGATGAAAAAGTGAAAAAGGGAAATCACACAAAGAATATGTAAGTAAAAAAGGCTGACAATACTCATTCTGTGCTGCATGAAGGTGAAATTTTGCCACAGATTTGCTCGTAAGTTAATTAGTTTAATCACTTATTTTACATCATTGACATGTTTCTAAAACATACTGGGATTACTGATGACTGTGTATTAAATTTTTAAGACAAGTATGCAGAAACAATTCAATTGTGCACACAGCTGATGATGTGATTACATCACATCACAGTTGATATAATAATTTGCTTAAAAGACTATTATCTTCCAGGTGTTCATTACAGTATTTTTGCTGTGCCTGACCTTATATAGGCTACAGTTTATGTGTTTTCTTAAAATGGTAGTCCTACTTGTGTCTCTGTAACCTATGCTTACAGAACTAACAACGTACATTATCGTTTGCATCTGTTCACTGGTATTGAGAAAAAACCCAAACAATTTAGAATACAATGAAAGTGTGCTACATGAAGACATGCAACTGTATGCTTATTTTTCCTAAAGCAAAGTTATATTGAATAGCTTTCCTATAAGAGTTAAACTGCTATTATTTTAGTTTGTTTATAAAACTATTTTAGTATCACACATGATAGCAAATTCAGTAGCACTAAGGATCCACAAAGTCCATACACATATCCACTAATCTCTGCAATTTCACAAGGAGTAATATTACTTCCATGCACAGATAGTTGCAGGCTTAGGAGTTTAATGAATTTCATAAGCGTACTACTTATATAGGTGGGAAGGAAAGCTTATTTTTCCCCACTAAATTCCTTGTTTGTAGCAATATTCGGCATTCTGTTTGGATATTTAGGGTTTATAGCTGGGAGCTTTACCTGTGTTAGAGAAATCTTAACTTAATAAAAGGAGTTATGATAAAAATAACCAATGATTATATGATAATATAATCTTCAAAAGTGAAGGTTATATTAAAGGCCCTAAATGTCTTCAAATTTTACTATCTTATCTATATTATTTCCATAAGAGTAGAGGACTGTAAAGGAATAGCAAAACATAAAGCAGCACCTTAGTTATTCTAGATGAGATTAGCTCTTTGTTCAGTATGTCAATAATGCAAAATATTCTCTCCACAAGCTTCTTCCTCACAGTACACTTCTACCCAAAGTTAAGCTTCAAATTCAAACTTACCCATTGCAACCTCTCGTCTTGCCTCATTTCTTTGTATACAGTGTATGAAAACATCACAGTCTTAAAGTCAGTGGAACCAGAAATTAATTTCCAGTTTAATTACTGCATGGTATGAAAAGCATAAAACATCCCATATAATAAGAAAACAGCTGTGGTACATTAATTAGAGGTTTGAAATTCGAACAAATACAGACAAATTGGGGGAAGCCTGCAGCAGAAAAGTATATTTTACTTTTATCATCTTTCACTTGCTAATGACATGTAAAGAAACTCAGTGTTGACTGAAAGACAGAAAAATAAGATGACACCTAGAAAGCCAGTGAAATGACACCACAAACTCTAGGGCTGAAAGTTGGAAAACCAAAAAGTAACAGAAACAGTAGTAACACATATCAAAGCTATTTATCATAACTTCGATCAAAATCAACAGCTGCTGAAGGGTCACCAACTTACTTCCCTCTCAAATAAAAGCACTAAATTAACTATCTCCAACACTTCCCAGATATTTTTCAGTAATACCTGCTAAGAAATTCTGAGGTGAAAGGAAAAACAAAACATCTTTAAAGGCTATTTACAGCTTCCTTCATTGCATGAAGAAAAGAGGGGGGAAAAATAGTTCTGAAGATAGCACAAAGTTTTCAAAGCTAATTAACAAAGTTTTTGTGTTATACTAATATATCCTTTTTACTAGAACCTACATATTATTTGACCATTTTCTCTTTTAAACATGCAACACAGGAAAGAGCCCCATACGGTAAGAGATACTACTTGCAGGTTATTTAAATCAGGACGGGGTAACTAGAAGTGAAATGTATTGCTCTGTAAATTTAAAAGTACATTAAGGATAAAGTAACTTTTCACCTATGTGGACATAGCTACTGCAATACAGTTAACAGAGCAAAAAATTATGAACAGAGTGCAAAAATTAGATGCATCAGCAGTAGTTGCACTTGGATTGCAGACACTACAAAACAACTCCCATGAAAACATCCATGAGGGGAAGATTCCAAAATAGATGTAAACACCACTGACTTCTCAAGGAGCCCATGCATCTAATCAGAACTAATTAACAAGTCACTAAAAGAAGCAGACCTGAATGTTCGGAGAGTGTAAGTTTTCTTATTTTCTGGGAGAAAGTGAAGCCTAGGACAGACAGTTCTACTGATTCTGAAATAGGATGTCAATGCAAACCAATGTGTTAAGTCAGTGCTGAATCCCTGCAGACTTCAGTGGAGTCAGAGTCTCATCAGAAGAAAAGTTCCAGAATCTGGTAAAGAATAAGCAGATGGGCTACTAGATTTCAGCCTGACTGATGTTATGTTGAAGGTTAAAGAGATGAGAAACTGGGACACTTGTCAAAGAAGAAGAGATGATACTAGCAAGAGCATGCAGTGATGTCGGAGGCAGTGATGTCAGATGAAGAGGGGGGTCTGTTGTCCAACCTGGATGTTAAAAAATGCATTAGCTGCTTAGAACTGGTTTTCAAATCCATTAACACTATTCTCTCCTGAAGCAGCCTATTTGTGCTTTCAAAAATGCCATCCTATTGTGCAAAAAATGATAGCGCTGCCTTCCATCTATCATTAAACTGTACCATTTCAGATCTGACATACCATGGAAGTTTCAGATCCAGGACACAGTTACTTACCCTTTCAACTGACAAAAACAATTCAATTAGACCAGGAGAAATCATCAACTCAGGTAACTTTTGTCACATATTGAAGGCATGATGGCACACAGGGCAACACAGAAGAACAACTTGATTTGATAGGCAGAATATACAAATAGTAGATGGAAAGAGATGAGACTCTCCTCTTGGCACTGAAGAAAAGCATTAGAAAAGGAAGTCTAGTAATTAAAGAGTTAATTATAAGGTGAGGGGGGGAATCCTATCGAGATTTTGCCTAGAGATAGACAAAGGCCTAACTGTCAAAACTAAAGTCAAGGAAAAAAAAGGGGGAAAGGAAAAGCAATGAGAAAAGAGTTGAAGGCTGCTAGCAAGTCTCATGCACTGTTTTAAAGGTTGTCTTTGTTTTCTTGGTATTAAATGAGACAGGCTAGCATAAATTGCAGTTGTCAAAACACTCCCTACAGTTCAAATGAGCTAATGAGTGACAAAAGGAGTGAGGGAACAGATCAGAATTTGGTTTTGGAGGGCACCTGCAATCCAGCCAGGTGCTGTTTGTTACTTTGGTGGGCAAATTCAGCATTAAAAGCAGACCCTTGTGCCACTACACCCCAATGGTTATAACTGAGGAGGTATTTTCATTTTGACAAGCCCCTATTTAACAGCCATCAAGTTTCCCAGATAAAGCAAACTATGTAGGACATTTTTTACATATTCTCAGTTTAAAGTGTTTTCTCCCTTTGTGAAAAGATGGCAACAACATACCCTAAAAATTACTACCTACATTTATAATACATACACATTTATTAGTCTCAGATTCAAGAAACACGAACTGTGATATGTATTGTGACTGGCTGGTATATGAAGAAAAACAGATACCTGCTGTCAGCACGGAAAGCTAAAAGCCCCCAGATGAAATCCTGGCTCCCCTGTGATCAAGTGAAAAAGACTAGATTACATTTCAAATCTCTCTCTGAGGTAAAATCCTGACCTCAGGTGAGTAATCCTTTTGCTACAGCACATACATACATAAGTATGTATCCATATATACATTTCAGGCAAATGCCTTTAAGAGATGACTTCAGACACAAAGTAGTAATCTTACTAGTGCCGAAGGAAGATTGCCTAATGCTGATGCTAACCCTGATACCACCTCCAACTGATCTCCCACCCATACAGAGGCCTGCCTCTTTCTTAAGGTCACAGCATTTTCAACCCAACCCAGCTGGCCCACATGATGCACAGGCAAAAGGATGCTTCCACCTGTGCTAGTAGCCCATCAGTGCCATGAGCACAAAGGCTAAATCTTTCATGTGCTACCATGTCTTTGCTGCTTTGCAAAATTCCCAGAAGAATGAGAATTATCCCCATGATTAAGACATTAGGGAGGAACTACAGGATCCATCCCGAGGCATGGAGAACCATGTAATGGTCCCCCTGATCTCCAGTCCTCCTCTATGCAGTGACAAACATAATGTGAGGAATGGTGGAGAATCTAATACTTCAGAACAAAGTGGCATAAAAGCTTAAAGCTCCAGAGCGAGGGCCTGCTTGGGAACAATGTTTCCCAAACAGAGTAGATCAGGCACCCTTACAGGTTATGTTTTTGCACTTGTCCTTAAGGGCACCCTTTGGGATTTATCTCCACAATTGCATCACACATCTCTCTTCTGAACAACTGCTTAGTCAGACTAGACTGAAAAGTATTTTCAATACATTCAGTCTCAATACTTGAGGTAGTTTGCTGCTGCAGTATCATCATGTAGTCAGATAAATTGACTATTACTTAGAAAACTGCCTGTGGTGTTTTGGAATACATCTCTTACATTTCAACATACAAGATGAGATGTATGGTGAGAAAACTAAGATCAAGACTGTTTGGTAGGGCTAGTTCCATTGTCTTACTTGAAGACTCTTCAGGAAGGTACTCTTAAAGCACAGCATAGAAACCTCCTATAAGAGCAGGTACAAGAAATAGCTGTGAAAGAAACACCACATGAAACTGCATTTCTGGTTCTTATGCTATACCCGCATTAAGAGAAACACGTCTTTCTTCTCATTCTCTAACTGCAATATAAAAACTGCTTCTGGAATACAGAAACTCAGGTGGACTACTGCTTCACTTCTGTAAGGACCCACAGGCCCAGCTAGAAATGTCTTCACGAGCTCTACAAACAAAGCATCGTCAGCGTGCCTCTCCAGCAAACATTCTTTCTCTCTGCGTTTTCTTTGTCCTCAGTATCCCGCTGCCAAACACTTTTCATATCAAAATCAAAAGGCCCTCTTCTCAGCTCATAACTGTTACCATCAGCCTTAAACTCTCTGTGAATCATATAATCTGGTAGAAAGGAAACGGAACTCCTACAGGCAAAGATTTAACACTTGTTTGTGCCAGGGATACATTCGTATGTTGCACTTTATTAGCGAACTATTCTGAAAAACTAACAGGTGACGAGAGAACCCAAGAAGTTATGCGGGGTCTCAGCAGACTTGCCGTGGCTCATCGGTCGCTGGGGGATTGGAGCAGTGTGCATACCAGTCAGGCACAGCATACGCTGCTGGAGAGGAAGGACATCCTTGTCATAGGAGTGTAGTGCTTCAGTAGGTCTTGAGAGAAACAGACAAAAGCCACTACTTTTTCTGACTTCTTATCTGATTGCAAAAGTATTACCTTTGTTTTCTTTGTTGCTGTTGTATCAGGAAGAAATGTTTGCTCTATTCAGCAAGGAGCATTTGTCTCCCTTGATAAAACAGTCAGAACCTTGCAGCATTGTGTTCCACTTGTACCTTGTTTATCTTGCTCCAAATGCTTTGATGTGTTTCTACCTATCTGTTAATTCACATTTCTGGATTTGTCACCCTGTTCTAAGCGTGCATACAAGCCATGTGCTCAAGTTCCTCAAGCCTCCTTCTTGGAGGAAGGAAAGAACAAAATCATGGATCACCTTGGTACAATAACACAATATGTACAACACTGTAACAAACTGAATGCCATCACAAAAAACACTTTATAAATGTCTACCAAGTTTTCTGATGATGCTTTTTTCTGACAACATTATTTTCACCAGACCACTACTTAAATAGCCCAAGCATAAATTATGAAGACCTCACTCAAACGCAGATAAACCATCATAATCTACTTAGATCAGATAAAGTGCAAAACTACACATTTTGCTAAAAGGTACCTATAGACAACAGACTGCAAGGATGTCTGGACAAGGTGACCTCTTATGCCACATTTTCAATTGCTCATTTTTTCCATATGTTAATTTCAAAACTCCACAGGATTCTTCTGTAGTATCTACGAGCACTTTCTACCACCACACTCAAGCAAAGCCAAAGAAAACAAAGAGAAAACAAACAAGTGAGACAGATGCTCACCAAGTCTCTTTAATCCACTTATTGCAGCACCCAGGATGGCACTTCATGGGGAGCTTTTGCAAGGTCACCAAGACCCAGAATCTGGGATGTTGGAGGAAGTGGGGTCTTCACGGTTACCGACTTTTCTGGTCGTTTCAGTGGCATGTGGTATTACTGTCTCACAATAATGGAAAAGAAAAAAATTATGGTAAAAGTTAACTACTAGCATCCCTTTTTCAGGCAACTAACAAATCGAGCCCACCTGAAACTTGAGTGACATGCTGCATTTCAGCTTGGAAACAGAAGACCAGGCTTGCTTATTCTGGGGAATATAGTATACACAACTTCTAGAGCATCAGATGCAACAAGGGAACACCTTGGTTTCGGTTTTGAAATAGCATTCAAGTTTTCATGTAAAGTGTTCTAATACAGGGGATTGTGTATCTTCATGCAGAAAACTATTTCCAAGGACACCAAGAGCAGCAAGAGGCACAGAAGACAGCAGGAAACACCTAAGCCTTTGGTTTCCTTTCCTCCTCACCCACTAACAAAAGCAAAGACAGTACCTGTCCATTTGCAGGGCTTTATTTGTAAAACAGCCAAATCCAACCTTCAAACCGCCCACCTCCCCAAATAAAAAAACCACCCAACACCCTACTTCTCGATACATTACTTTCTCAACTTCTAGTGAGCAAAAAGAAAATATAAATAAATCCTCATTAATGGGAAAATGGAATGGCAGACAAGGAAGAAAAAGACAGTCTAAGGAATTATGCCATGAAAGGGACATAGGACACTTAACTGAAGTGACTCCAAGTGCAGGAAATGCCATTTTGTAGGTATAAGGAAACTATCTTAAAGCTGGCAGCCTATTAAGGAGGTCTTAGGGTACACACAAATGTTAGCTATGCTGAAACTCAGCTACAAGAAATAATAAACCAAAGCACTTGCTCTCCTTTAGACTGTGCTTGCTGTCACTTCATTAATTGGTCCATCAGAAACTGCAAGACCTAATTATCCCAAATGCTCTCCTTCTTTGCACTTTGCTGGGCTGCCACCATCTGGGATCTCTACTGCATGCCATGGCTTAAGATTAAAAAACAAAATCAAAATTTTCTCTAAAAGGGATCAGCAACCCCAGTCAAACAGGCTGAGCTCTACTGGGCTTCACCTAGAGGGCAAAGTGTTTCAGAGCGATTTTTTCCACCTGACATCTTCTAGAAGACCTCTGCAAAAGGAGGACATGCCATCAATTCAGAGTGCAAGAGGGCACCAGGTAAAATGACTTGGGGACGGCACAGGTGCTTAGAGCTCAGCCGGTACTCGAGGAAAATCAATCAGGTGGGAACCAGCCAGCGAAGGCCCGCGATCGGCTCCGCATTCCCTCACCAAGATCTTCCCAGCGTCCATCCAAATGGCAAGCTCTTTGCCTGGCGCCCAGAAAAAAGCTCCTTTCTCTCCGACTTGGCTTCAGCAACTGCCTGAAGCAGCAGACATGGCCTGGCACCCAGTCGTCGGCAGCTTGAGGCCTGAGCTGCGCTTGCCGACGGACACAAGGCCGGGGGGTAAATAGACGGGACGGGTGCTGCACCAGTGCCTCGGTGGCCGCACCTTATGGTGCCCTTAACTTCCATCCCGCCGCGATGGGCTACGGCGCCTGAGGGAAAGCCCACTTCGCG